GTCAAATCAAGTTTATATTTTTGCAATGACACTGATATTTACATCTTAATTCATAGACAAGGATAAGCTAATTATTGGACGATTGAAAGATAATTCAAATTTACTATTTCAACTATTTGATTGTAACAGATTAGTCAAAATTATGTTAATATCAAATTAAAATTTTTAAGTTATGCAACGTGACTCTCTATCTATAAACCGCTTTAAGTGTGAAACTGTAAATGTGCTCAAATTTTTAACTTGTTTGTCAAAGCAAATGTTTGGGTTCTCGGTCTGTTAGGAAAGTCAACGGATTTTTCCAAATTAATAGCGAGGGCTATTGACTTGAAGAAAAAGTATCACTTCTCCTTAAGTTTGTGATTTGTATATATCATAAACTTCAAACTTATGAAGAATATATGAATGTTGTCTGTGTAGATGCAAAAAATCTACCGTCATGAAAATAGGGTCTGATCCCGTGAGGTTAAGGCCACTGACAATCCGCTAGACCTGCACACATGAAAGGGCAAGAATGAAGCTTCTAGAAAACACAGGGGTGGTGTTTGTCGTAGGCACTCCGACGCTCAAGTCATCAAGGGTGAAATAGATTATTTGATAAGAATTAAGGAGATTAAGAATTACCAGGAGTCTTGTCGGAAGCTAGGACTACAGCGGAGGCATCGGGTTCTTGGGAGCAAGAACTTTAGGAACAAATATATGATTTTGAGTAGTATAGATTGACTATGGGAGATTGTCCCTTAATGAGAAAGCAAACCTCTGTTTTTATAGTGAACCCAGGGGGTTGGAATCCTAGTAGGACATTGAGTCATCTTTTTTGGGAGATAATCCCTATCAAGAAAGAAATATGATTTCTTGACCTTATCAGATTAAGTTTAATAGTTTATTATACAGATTTAGATGGCTTGCCATGGAAATGCAACTTCTAGTACCGTTTAACAAATAGCAGTGTCACCGTAAGCCCTTACTGCGGGGGAGTGGACATTGTGATAATAGGTCCTTAGAGAGGAAGGCTTGATTCTTTCAAGAGTCTTGAAGTTGTGCTTGAAGAAGGACTTGATGTTACTCGCTGTGTCTCCACCCAAACGATGATGGGTTCTTTCATAATATTCAGTCAGAGGTATGGAATTTCCAACAATTCTTCCATTAATTTTTAGGTGTAGAGTTTTACACTTGTTTTTATATTGTTATTATCATATAATCCCAACAAGGATATGTTTATTTCTTGTGTTAAAATTTCTCGCAGGTTGAAGATCTGACAGGTATTGATCTATCTGAGCTGCAACAGAAACTTAATGATGTGATTGTGTCAACTAGCTAGGTATGTTTCTGAGTTTGAAATAGCCATGATTTATGGAATGTTTGATCTCAAATCCCTGAACTTGGTTGATCAACGATCAGTTATTATATACCCCTAAATTTGTTGCATATGAAGCTTCAATTCTTCGCAGTAATTTATTTCCATGGACTTCGTGTAGACGGTGAGAAGGGTGATGGATTCTGAGCTCTCCATGAACGATCGATTCCAGGCGTTATTACCTTTATTAAAAGAAATATTGCTGCGAGTCTACTTTAAGGGTAAAATCCAAATCAAAATATTATGTCAAAAAATTTACAAGCAAGCTGAGCAGAGTACTTTTCCGCAGCATATATGTGTTTAAGACTGGATTTCATGTTGCAACCTAATTATGTAATTAAATTGAGTGGATTTCATTGACCTATAAAGTAACTATATGTCAAACATGCTTTGCTTTGGTTTTCACTAAGTAATGAAGTTGGATATCGTTTGCCTATATAATGATAGTAGTGCATGAAACTTCAATGAATCACTTTTTAACCATATAAGTCTGAAACATGAAATCGTTTAATAGCTGCTGTTTGCAAAAATCTGGTACTAGTGGTAAATGTGTGAGCAGCTGATCCTTCTGCAGAATTATTCTTCGATATTGATATTGTGTATTATGTCCTAAAATCCACATTGGTCCAAAGATGAACTTATTTGGATTATTTTGTTGACATTATAAAGTTATTCCTGGAGTCGACAACATGTTTTATACATGTTCGCTATCTCACATATTATGATGTTATATTCTTGAGGCCTAACCTACACACTTTTTTTTTTTTTTTTTGCTTATTGGTCAGAGAATCATAATATGAAAATAGCCCGTACCTACAATACTTGATGACACTGTATAACTAGAATATATGGAATTCTTCACCTCAATACTTCATGACTTAAAACTGTTATCCTTCATCTTAGTTGCTTTATGACTCCAAAAGAATTGGATCTCGAGTAGAGTTACATGTCCTTGTGTGAGGAGGATTAAGTCTAACATAACTGTTGAACTGATCTGATTGAGAAATGCAAATGATGCTTAAGAGAGGTTTAAGTCTGCTAATCAAGTCAATTAGAAAGTAACCAAGTCAGTTACTAAAGTTGTTAAAGATGTCGTTAGTTGCGTTTGTCTAATTTTCTCTTTTCAAGTTAACTTTGTCTTTTCATTTACTCACTCTATGAATTAGAAGAATAATACTACCTTTCTCCAGTGATATCCCAAAAAGTGATCTCAAGGGTGTAAGATTATGTGGTGTTGATACGGAAATAAAGTGTGATGATTTGGTAAATGATGTCTCAACAACACATAGTAGTGATGACATCATTTGCGATGAGATTTTTGGGATAATAGTATTACTGAGCTTAGAATAAGGTGTTTGAAACATATCCTTGTATAGGGTGATGTGTCCTTGTGAGTGGTTAATTAAGCCTCGATTATATGGTTCTACAGGCCACACTATATGACAATTGGTTTCAACTTTGATACCAAATTTTGAAAATCAATTCTACATAACATGATATTATCCCTTTTTGGAGTTTGGGTGAAATGCTAAAGGTTTTATGTTTTAAGAATCTCCCAAAGAGCCTCATATTAAGTTCGGCATAGATAGTTCAGCAGCTTTTCTAAACATGCAATATAGGATTCTAAAACACCTTTTTCACGACTTCTATAGGTCTCTATCTAATCTATATTATGCCTTTGGATGTTATGATATGTATTATATGCATACACATATTTTAGATTTTTATCTTGAGTAGCTCAATGTAGATGTGACATATTCAATTTGCCAATCAACTCTATATCAAATACTTTGGTTTCACTAATATGGTAGATTTCTAGTTATCAATCATTCTAATTTTTTATTGATCCTTATACACTTATGTGATAGTTATATATAATCACATTGCTCATTTTAATTGCATCATGTAAAGTTTGTGTATGCAATCACTTTTTTTAATTTTTTGGGTTGTTTTTTTGTATTTTATTTAATTATCTATTTTTTTGGGGAGCATTATCAATCAAAGTATAATCGATAAGATTTTATGCCAAAACTTTTCCAAATGAAATGGTTGCTGACTTACACACAAATAAAGAAACAAAATTACTGTTTTAAGGTTATGTGAACCAATAACACAAAAGTTAAATGTATGGCTCGATTAAAGTCATATCACATGATCACATATTCTCATCCTTATGTCTAAAAAGATGGACGCATCTGTTTTAGTCTTCTTTAAGCATCTTCTGAGGGTATGTTCTTAGTTTCTTTTCTTTCATGTAATTTATCATTTCCCACCCCCCAAAAAAAAAAAAATCTCTTAGTTTAAGCAAACTTTCCTAGATGATCGAAATATTCACCTCGGCCCAAAGCTATTTACGAACTCAAAAAACGAAACCGTAATGAGTTACTGAATAAACAAAACTAAAGGAGACGATTGAGAGTCAAGCAGTGAACACACTGCTTTAGGATCATTAATTTCATGTGTGCATAAAAACTAAGATAAAGCTCAAAATTCACTTAGTAATAATTTGATTAATAAGGACCCATGTCAAACATTACAGATGAAAGATAAATTAAAATATTCAAAAGCAAGAATTCGGTCCGACACATCTCAACATCATCTCATAATCTCGGTAGTTAGGAGCTGATATGCATTCAAACCTATCCATAATGTGATTTCACCAGCTAATCAAGTCATCAACAAATTGAAGCAAAGCAGAAATCAACTTTTGAGAAGAGAATGAATTACTAAACTCACAGCTTAATTAAACTGCCTGCCTCTACAATGGGGTCTCTTAATATATATATTTTATTCGGTCACAATTTTAGCTCTTCAACGGCAAAGATAGGAAACAAAATCATTGCCTTGATCTCATTAATATTTCCTTAAAATATTATACCATAATCTTTTAGATTGTCTAACTTATGCATTGTGTATAAAATATAAGAAAATTGTATCTTCAGGATCGTTGCCTTGATACCGTTGGTGTTGGGCTCTCCTCGTGCACGTATTAATTATCTTAGTCTTATACGCTAAAATATGAAACAAATAAATAAAACATCATTTGTAGAACCCATCTTAATTTGCCACATATATTTTTATTCTTGTCATGACCTGATGATCCTTATCTTTCTGAAAAGACATAACTACTACAACATATGGATCATGCACCTACCAACCACTTCTATTGATTGGCATTACAAACATCGTAGTTCTCAGCATTGAAGTAATTAGATTTAGTGCTCTTGTGTACACTGTAATTACTAATTAAGAAAATTAAATCATCTCAAAGTAATTAAACGTAGAGATGGGGTTTCCCAAGCATTTTTGTCTAAGATTAATTTTATCGGTACAAGTTAAAGTTGCATTTTCGTGATATGCATGCTCTTGATTGCAAGAATTACTCACCTTTAATCTCCTTCCCTTCTTCTTCATCTTCCTCAAAACACAAATTAAAAAACTCTTTAAAGCTATGAGCCAAAATAACGTTACCGACATGCTGGTCCACCATTTATGAGTGTTGGCGAGTTGCAATTTCAGCAGGAAAAAAGCAATTAACAGTTCCGCCTGCCTCCCCAAATCACTTTATCTCTCCTGGCCAATTAAGAGATTGCAGATCAGAATCTTTGCATCTTAGGATAATTAAAGGGTTCACACTCTGACAAGCGTATCTATTTCTTTAACTCCATTATTACTGGAAAGATATCACTTGAAAGCTTGAAGAGTCTTTATTCAATGTTTCCTCCTGAGCAAAGTGGCGATTTCTTGATCCACTAAAATCCCCACCAAGAAGATATTGCATTCAACAGGATCTGATATTCCTGGGTCAAGCTTCGCTGGAGGGAAGTAACCTAACCCAAAAAATGAGAAAGGGCAAACAACATAAAATATTAGCTTCTGCAAAAGACAATGATGGAAGTGATAATTTTAATGATTCTGAGAAGAAGATCATACGTAAGGAAATCGAACGGCAAAGAAGACAACACATGTCCATGCTTAACGCATCACTTCGATCATTGCTCCCTCTTGAATCTATTAAGGTCAGAACCTCCATATTCTTTCATCTTTTTCCTTCAATCATATATATAACTAGGATAAGTTTACTGATTGGATAATTCAGAACTTAAAATAAGAAAAACAACCGACTACCCTTTGCTCATGACTTGAAATTACTGTAATTCATCTTTATTTTCATAATTATGCTTATAGGGTTTTGTTGGTGGGGTTACAGGGAAAACGTTCAGTGAGTGATCACATAAATGAGGCTGTGAATTATATTAAAAACCTGGAGAAGAAAATCCAAGACTTGAGTTCGAAGAGAGATAATCTTAAAAATTATACAGATTTAGATGGCCTTGACCATGGAAATGCAACTTCTAGTAACCGTTTAACAAATAGCAGTGTCACCGTAAGCCCTTACTGCGGGGGAGTGGACATTGTGATAAATAGTGTCCTTAGAGAGGAAGGCTTGATTCTTTCAAGAGTTCTTGAAGTTGTGCTTGAAGAAGGACTTGATGTTACTCGCTGTGTCTCCACCCAAACAGATGATGGGTTCTTTCATAATATTCAGTCAGAGGTATGGAATTTCCAACAATTCTTCCATTAATTTTTAGGTGTAGAGTTTTACACTTGTTTTTATATTGTTATCTATCCATATAATCCCAACAAGGATATGTTTATTTCTTGTGTTAAATTTTTCTCGCAGGTTGAAGATCTGACAGGTATTGATCTATCTGAGCTGCAACAGAAACTTAATGATGTGATTGTGTCAACTAGCTAGGTATGTTTCTGAGTTTGAAATAGCCATGATTTATGGAATGTTTGATCTCAAATCCCTGAACTTGGTTGATCAACGATCAGTTATTATATACCCCTTAAAATTTGTTGCATATGAAGCTTCAATTCTTCGCAGCTAATTTATTTCCATGGACTTCGTGTAGACGGTGAGAAGGGTTGATGGATTCTGAGCTCTCCATGAACGGATCGATTCCAGGGCGTTATATTACCTTTTATTAAAAGAAATATTGCTGCGAGTCTACTTTAAGGGTAAAATCCAAATCAAAATATTATGTCAAAAGTTTATCAAGCAAGCATGAGCAGAGTACTTTTCCCGCAGCATATATATGTTTGTTAAGACTGGATTTCATGTTGCAACCTAATTATGTAATTAAATTGAGTGGATTTCATAGACCTATAAAGTAACTCATATGTCAAATATGCTTTGCTTTGGTTTTCACTTAAGTAATGAAGTTGGATATCGTTTGCCTATATAATGATAGTAGTGCATGAAACTTTAATGAATCACTTTTTAACCATATAAGTCTGAAACATGAAATCCGTTTAATAGCTGCTGTTTGCAAAAATCTGGTACTAGTGGTAAATGTGTGAGCAGCTGATCCTTCTGCAGAATTATTCTTCGATATTTGATATTGGTGTATTATGTCCTAAAATCCACATTGGTCCAAAGATGAACTTATTTGGATTATTTTGTTGACATTATAAAGTTATTCCTGGAGTCCGACAACATGTTTTATATATACATGTTAGCTGTCTCACATATTATGATATTATATTCTTGAGGCCTAACCTACACACTTATTTTTTTTTTTTTTTTTTTTTATATTTGAGGTATCCAGGTCTACATTAGAGTCTGCTTAATTCTCAGAGTCACGAAACATCCTACAAATCCAATATACTAAGGTAATTATACAAATGTGATAAGTACTTCTCGTACGATTAAAACATAAGACTTTCTGGGTATAGCTAACTTCAGTGGCCAAAGAGTTTGTCATCTGACTACAAGGGGAGAGGTTTAACCTACACACTTTTGTTCTATTGGTCAGAGACTTCATAATATGAAAATAGCCCGTACCTACAATACTCTGATGACACTGTAAAACTAGAATATATGGAATTCTTTCACTTCAATACTTCATGACTTAAAACTGTTCATCACTTCATCTTAGTTGCTTTATGACTCAAAAGAATTGGATCTCGAGTAGAGTTACATGTCCTTGTGTGAGGAGGATTAAGTCTAACATAACTGTTGAACTGATCTTGATTGAGAAATGCAAATGATGCTTAATAGAGGTTTAAGTCTGCTAATCAAGTCAATTAGAAAGTAACCAAGTCAGTTACTAAAGTTGTTAAAGATGTCGTTAGTTGTGTTTGTCTAATTTTCTCTTTTCAAGTATAACTTCGTCTTTTCATTTTACTCACTCCATGAATTAGAAGAATAATACTACCTTACTCAAGTGATATCCCAAAAAGTGTATCTCAAGGGTTGTAATATTATGTGGTGTTGATACGGAAATAAAGTGTGATGATTTGGTAAATGATGTCTCAACAACACATAGTATGTGATGACATCATTTGCGATGAGATTTTTGGGATAATAGTATTACTGAGCTTAGAATAAGGTGTTTGAAACATATCCTTGTATAGGGTGATGTGTCCTTGTGAGTGGTTAATTAAGCCTCGATTATATGGTTCTACAGGCCACACTATATGACAATTGGTTTCAACTTTGATACCAAATTTTGAAAATCAATCTTACATAACATGATATNGTGATGATTTGGTAAATGATGTCTCAACAACACATAGTATGTGATGACATCATTTGCGATGAGATTTTTGGGATAATAGTATTACTGAGCTTAGAATAAGGTGTTTGAAACATATCCTTGTATAGGGTGATGTGTCCTTGTGAGTGGTTAATTAAGCCTAGATTGTATGGTTCTACAGGCCACACTATATGACAATTGGTTTCAACTTTGATACCAAATTTTGAAAATCAATCTTACATAACATGATATTTATCCCTTTTTGGAGTTTGGGTGAAATGCTAAAGGTTTTCTGTTTTAAGAATCTCCCAAAAAGCATCATATTAAGTCTCTGCATAGATAGTTCAGCAGCTTTCTCTAAACATGCAATATAGGATTCTAAAACACCTTTTCTCACGACTTCTATAGGTCTCTATCTATTCTATATTATGCCTTTTGGATGTTATGATATGTATCTATATGCATACACATATTTTAGATTTTTATCTTGAGTAGCTCCAATGTAGATGTGACATATTCAATTTGCCAATCAACTCTATATCAAATACTTCTGGTTTCACTAATATGGTAGATTTTCTAGTTATCAATCAAATTTTAATGATAGCTTCGTAGAATGCATGAATAATACTAGAAATTTAAGTTCCTTACATGTCCGGAGCAATTTCTTGGAGTCAACGACTTTTTCCCACCCAAGGTTTGCCTTAGTGACACTTTCCCACCCAAAAAATTTCAAAATACCACTTTCCCACCCAAAATTTATATTTTGTTAATATCCAAAATATACTTCACTTTCTCAGCTGATGTTCGACGAGTTTCCAGGAGCTAGGGTAAGAGGGGTTTTGTAGAGTGGATTTTGGTAGATCAAACAGTGGTGACAAATTGAATATTCGCCGTCAGAATCAGCTGAAAATCAGCTAAGAATAGGAAACAGCTTTGCGGTGGCCGACAGTCGGCAAAAAATCAAGTGTTGGAGTGAAAGAAGTTTTATAGAGAGGAGACCGGAGAGTCAACTAGCAATGACGAAGAGAATTTTTACCACTAGAATCGGCTTTAGCTAATAACAGAATATTAACTTTGGGTGGAAAAGTGATATTTTGAAACTTTTTGGGTGAGAAAGTGTAATTAAGGTAAACCTTGGGTGGGAAAGAGTATTTTACTCATATGCAACCCCTGGGACTCCAATACCCATAATTAAGTCCCTTTTTGTTTCACTCTTTTGAATCATTTTTCTGTTATCCGATTTGGATTAAAAAGCAGAATATGTGTTTTTTTACTTATTGGGATCATTATTTTGAAAATTAATCCGAATCAAATAAGACTTTTTCTATTGAAAATGAAAAAGCGGGGGGGGGAGGGAGGGGAGGGCGGGGCGGGTTAATTCTATCATATTCTATTCAACTCAAAACATTTTTCCAACCCTATTCAACTATAAACAATTATCTTTCACTCCTTTCAGTTTGAAAATTAATCTACCCAAGATCACCACCCCTGCCAGAAACCACCGTTGGCTGTCGCCGACATCGAAACGATGCACGACCAGCCAGATCTGGTAGGTCATGCGCTGATCTTGCCATTTCCAGCCAAATCCACCATGAATTTGGCTAAAAACAGCCAAATCTAAGATCAGAGATCTGACCATTGACGGCCAAATTCTAGCCAGATCTATTTAGCCGTTGACAACGGCCAAATAATGGCCATAGATCTGGTTTTTTCTGGCCATATACACGGTAGATCTGGCCGAAAAAATGTCATATTGACGCACGACAAACCAGATCCAATCAGTCATGCGCCATTTCAACGACTATTGGCTGCCGTCCGACAGTGGCTTGGGTGGGTGGGGATGTTTTGTTAATTTTTAAAGTTTTATTTTGGGGGGTGTTTAGCTAGATTAACAAATGTAAGGGTTAAAAATAATCTAAATATTCTATCATATTTAGAGTATTCTATCATATTCTATTCAACTCAAAACATTTTTCCAACCCTATTCAACTATAAACAATTATCTTTCACTCCTTTCAATTTGAAAATTAATCCACCCAAGACCATCACCCCCTGCCAAAAACCACCGTTGGCCATCGCCGACATTGAAACGATGCACGACCATCCAAATCTGGTAGGTCATGCACTGATTTTGCCATTTTCAGTCAAATCCACCATGAATTTGGCTAAAAACAAGCCAAATCTAAGATCAGAGATCTGACCATTGACAGCTAAATTCTAGCCAGATCTATTTAGCTGTTGACAACGGCCAAATAATGGCCGTAGATCTGATTTTTTCTGGCCATATACACGGTAGATCTGACCGGGAAGAGGCCAGATTGACGCACGACCAACTAGATCCAGTTAGTCATGCGCCATTCCAACAACTATTGACTGCCGTTCGACAGTGGCTTGGGTGGGTAGGGATGTTTTGTTAATTTTTAAAATTTTATTTTGGGGAGTGTTTAGCTAGATTAACAAATATAAGGGTTAAAAATAATCTAAATATTTTCATAAAATATTTTCAAAAATTGTACCATACAACTATTCAGTATTTTATCCAACTCTGATATAATTTTAAGATATTATCCCAAATATATTCTCAGAATCTCATCCTATTCGATTTAATCTAACTCAACTTAACTTAACTTAAAGTGGTTTTTCGGAACATCAATTTTCAAATAATCTAACCCTACCTAATTTGAAGGGATGATATGTCTTTGTATGGTGTGCCAATCTTAGTCCTTTCAATGTTCTGCTTTCCCTTGGCCTTCTCTTTGTCCTCTTCTCATGAGATTTGACCTTATAGGTCAAATCAAGTATATATTTTTGCAATGGCACTGATATTTACATCTTAATTCATAGACAAGGATAAGCTAATTATTGGACGATTGAAAGATAATTCAAATTTACTCTTTCAACTATTTGATTGAAACAGATTAGTCAAAATTATGTCAATATCAAATTAAAATTTTTAAGTTATGCAACATGACTCTCTATCTATAAACCGCTTTAAGTGTGAAACTGTAAATGTGCTCAAATTTTTAACTTGATTGTCAAAGCAAATGTTTGAAATGAGCTTGACGGGTTCTCGGTATATTAGGAAAGTCAACGGATTTTTCCGAATTAATAGCCAGGGCTATTAACTTGAAGAAAAATTTATCACTTCTCCTCAAGGTTGTGATTTGTATATGAATATATGAATTTTGTCTGTTGTTTAATGATTTTGTAAAGATATCTGTGGGTTATTCCGAAGTATGAATAGGGAATAGAAACTCATAATTAGACAACTTTTTATTGTACATTTTGTTAAACTAATATTTAGTCGATAACCTTTCTATCTTTGTATACAAATTAAAAAAATTTAAAACGTTATTACTTGGAAAAATTATATACTAAAGTTTTGACTAAAGTTATATTTTTTAACATTTACAACCATCAATAAATGGAAATGCATTTGAAGAATTGTCATATATAGTCTGAAAAATTCTGTCTTCAGGCATCTATTGCAAAATTCTCAAATTCGAATATATACATTTTTTTTTTTTTAAATTTGGGTTTTTATTCACAAGCGCCAATAAATGTTAAAAGGGAAATTTTTTTACTGGAATATTGTGTTTCAATAT